AACAACTGAATGCTGTCTGTGGCAGCTGCTGGGAGCAAACGTGACTTTATCTTGTGATGACTTTTCTTATCTGTGTTCCTGGCATCTTCCCAACCATGTTGCCATGACTTCAAGTCTGGAATTCTTGCTCCTGCCATGCCAAACTAATTACCTCAGTTTGGCTTGATTGGACTTAAAGTTACATTTTGTGTTGACCATGTTTTGGACTTGATTCTCTGCAGTTAAAGGCTGTTCCTGGGAGAGTTTTTCTCCAGCCAGAAGGTAACCTGGACATTGGGGGCAAAGTTGGAGCTATTAAAGGGACTCTTATTGACTGGGTGGCCTTTGTGCCATGCCCCAGATGATCACACCTACAGCTGTCATAGGTAAGGATATAAACAGGAATGGAGAGATTGCTAAAGCCTTTGGGACCCTGTAAGTCAGGACTGTCAAACTCCTGGCCTATGGGCCGGATGCTGGCCACACCCATGACCTGGGTTAGCAAAGGGGGAAAAAATCCTGATGTGTTACGTGACACTGCCATGACAATGTTTAACACCCATGCTGTAAATCATAGGCCACAGATTAAACTCCTGCCCTCTTCAACATTGACTCGAACTAGCCCTAAAGAAGGAAGAGAAACACCATAATAGAATGCTACCCATTCCCCAATCCAATTCAGAAGAATACCATGATAAATTGTGTGCTGAAAACTACTAAGAGATCAAAAGAAGAGGTGACCATTATCCACTTCTGCCAGAGATCACCTACAAGCATGATCAGTGCCATTTCTGTCCTGTCCTCAGCATATCCTTAATTCTCACCTCTAAAATGATATACTGTATATACAATATAGTCATGTAGAACATAAGAGATGATAAGATTTGCACTAAAATACTTGATGGTATTGTATATGTATAAAATAGAAGAAGTGGGGCAGGCAAGAAGAAAAGGGAGTTTTGAAGCACTTCAGTCCACCAAATGGTCTCCTTTAGCTGCTTTTCGTCTGGTAGAAGAACCTTTTAGATTGTGGTTGAAATGAAGCTTTTGGGGGGGTCTCAGTGGAGCTTGAGATACAAATGCAGCCTGCTCTTGCTAATCTATAATTTAAGTTACATGTAATAACATCATTTGGGTTTACATAACATTCTTATCTTGTAGTACATTGACCCATAAACTAACCAAATATCACATTAACCTAACCCAGGCCAGCAGCAATCAACTTTTCTGGTACTTGTGAAATGTGTTATATAGATGCTGCCAGCAGAACCTTAGCTAACCTAGTTAATCTTATTACATAAATATGGCTAGCTAGGCCTTACTTGAAATAAGGCATTATATCTGCAGCAAGATCATGATTACAAGCAAAGCGGATGGAGGTTGCAAAAAAAACAACGATCTCACCTTGAAAGCTAAGGCTTAAGACTCCTTTGGCATCTTTTGACTCCATTCTGAGCATTATGCCTTGTTTAGAGTTTTGAAGCATGAATTCAGCTCCAGAAAAATAAACAACAGATGGCTGATGCTTCATTTAACATCTTTATAAACTTAATAAGTAAATTTTACAAACCAGTTGTAGATTTCTCCAACACAGAGCAAACTCAAACAGAAGTAGACATGTTACAAGTTCAGAGGTTCAGCAGTAACTTCAGCAGCTCAGAAACAGACATCAGTTTCACTTTAGTTCAGCAAGCAAGCAAGATACAGAGAAGCAGTTTCATTTCAAGAGACAGACTCAGAGCTCAACATAGCTGCAGAGTTGCAGAGCTTAATATAAAGCCACGCCTAGGCTACTTCTAGTTTCAGTTTCCAAACTGTCCTCATTGGTTGATTTAGTTGCTGTGCCTATTCATTGGCTGACCTTGTTACCATGCTCTATTCCAGATGATGGATATACTCTGACATGCCTGTTTTTCTCCTTAGGACCATGGCTAATTTATCTCTGTTGTCCCAAATGGCCAGGCCTAACAAAGTGTTCATATTAATAAATTAACTTTATTCGTGTCCTGAAAATCCTTCTGATTTCTCTCTTGACCCCCTGATGGCTGTCCTGGCTGATGGCTGTACATTCATATGTAATTCATTTGCTGTGCAATGTGTAGTACATTAGTTCAATCAATCAGTCACTCAGAATAGAGTTGGAAGGGACCTTGGAAGTCTTCTAGTCCAACCCCCTGCTCAAGCAGGAGAATCTATACCATTTCCGACAAGTGACTGTCCAGTCTCTTCTTAAAACCTCCAGTGATGAAGCACAACTTCTGAAGGCAAGCTGTTCCACTGGTTAATTGTTCTCTCTGTTAGGAAGTTTCTAATTAATTCCAGGTTGCTTCCTCCTTCAATAGTTTCCTTCCATTGTTAAGAAACAATGAAAGAGTCTTGCCTTCTGGTGCTTTGGAAAATAAGTTGATCCTCTCTTTTTTGTGGCAATCCCACAAATACTGGAATACTGCTATCATGTCACCCGTAGTCCTTTTTTTCTCTAGTCTAACCATACCCAATTCCTGTAACTGTTCTTCATATGTTTTAGTCTCCATGCGTTTAGTTCAGGAGAAGCAACATCCTTAATAATGAAAAGGGTTGGGTAGGGGATGGACCACAATCTTTATCATCCATTAGGAAATAAACTCCAGAGATGCAGAAAAGAAGTTTACAGTTCTGTTCACAGCAAGTTGTATTCTTCTTTTCATAAGTTGGTGGCTTTTTGACAAGCAGCAAATAGACTGGTTAACTAGCCAATGACATCAGGGATGGTTGGTCATTTGACAGAAAAAGACTTCTTTGGTTGGGATGATGAATTTAGCCTGAATTGAATTAGCTTTGACACAATTTATCCACAGTATAGGAAGAGTACTTCAGAAACCAAGGGTTAGTTTAACAGAGAGCAATCTCTTTGCAGGCTTGCCCAGCCAATTAACCTTTTCTAGTATTCAAGATGAATATTGAACTTAATGAACTATCTGTTGAATGGTCAGTCAAGTACATATACATGAATACCCAGGTGCATGCAAATACAAATATTGGGATAAACTAAAACAATGATGTACCAAAGATCAGGGAAAGATCAAAGAACAACTGCTGGATAAAAGAGTTGGCCAGGACTTGAATTTCAGTGATGAAAAGCTGTCTAAGAACAGCCCAATCCCTTTCTAATAGTCACCTCCACGAGTCTTTTGTAACAAGACTCTATGATAAAAGCCAGCTGGTCAGAATCAACACTTTTAGATTATAAAAGGAGACGAAAAGGAACTGTGCTTGCTTATCTCTGTGTGTGCTTGTGTGAGAAGTATAAAAGTTTCTCGGATCCATATCTTGCAATTTTATTTGCTGTTTTTTGCTATTACTTCTCTGCTATCCCCTTAACTCAGCAATTTTTCTAGAGTTACAAAATAACTTTTCCCAACTATCTGATGACTAATTTAGATAATTCTCCTGCTAATATTAGTTGGGAAAATCATGTTAATCATCAGTGACTGTCTCTAATTAGTTGTGCTGGAAGTGAGGAATGTACTAAAGCAGGGGTGTCAAACTTGTGTTGTCACAGCGGCATCACGTGACATATCAGGACTTTTTCCCCTTCACAAAATCGGGTTGGGGTGGGGCTGGCACATGGGCTGCGAGTTTGACACCCCTATGCTAAAGGGACAGCTATATTCAAGCTGTGATTCAATAAAACTGTGCAAAGGCTGCACTATACTAAAAAATGGTTACTTTCTGGAGTGATTGAACCAGATAAGGACAAAGTTCCTGAGAAGGAGTGAAAAGGTTGTCTCTGGTTTCTTCCCTTAAGATACACTTCCCCAGAATTGAAATTATTGTGCAGTAAAATCTAGACCCCCATCTGAACTGGAAAGAACCATCAAAGAGGCTACGTTGGGAGAGAGAGAAAACTATGTTTCCTAATAAATATTTAGAGACAGAAGAGATTCTTACAACTATCTTCCTCTGTGGTTTCATGGATAAAAACTTGAATATCTTTAGTCCAGCATTTTGCAATTGGATTCCTTTCCAATAGCCATATTGGATTGTAATTGAGAATAATCACCATCATTTCAATTATCTGATATTTGGGGCACACTGCTCCTGCTATTTTTATGGCATTGATGGCAGTTAAATCTTAAATAAACTGGGTAGAACCATGATGGCGAACCTATGGCACGCGTGCCACAGGTGGCACACAGACCCATTTGTGTGGGCATGTGAGCCTCAGCCAAACTTACCTACACTGTGTTCGCATGCCTCCCAGCTGATTTTTGGCCCATTTGAGGCCATTTTCGCCTTCCCAGAGGCTTGAGGGAAGCCTCTGCAGCCTCGAGAGGCCAAAAAATGGGCCTTTCAGAAATACCAGAAGTGCCGAAACTGGCCAGTTTTCAGCCTCTGGGAGGGTGAAAACGGCCTCCCCTGGGCTCCAGAGGCCCTCCAGAGGCCGAAAAATGGACCTTTCGGAAATACCGGTAGTGCCGAAACAGGCCCATTTTTCGGCCTTCCAAGGCTGCAGAGGCTTCTCTTGAGCATCCGGGAGGGTGAAAATGGCCTCAAATGGGCTGAAAATCAGCTGGGAGGCATGCGCATGTGCAGTGCAGGTAAGGGGGCGGGGGACGGGAGTATTGCATGTGCATGCGCAGGGAAGCACATTGCATTGTGGGTGCTGGCATGTGCATGCTTTCCGTACACCACAACAAAAAAGTTCTCCATCACTGGGGTAGAACAATGTACAGGTTAATTATGAGTACCAGAACTCTTCTGGTGAAGGTTTGTATTAGTTGTATCAGAGCAAGAGTAAGCGATGAAATTTTAACTGACTGCCATGGGATTTACTGTTTCCTTCAGCAGGGAGACTTCCCCCGCTCAGTGGATAGAAAAAAAGAATACCGGAGGGAATGTCCAGCTTATCCTTCTTGCTGGCATTCTAAGTTTCTACATGCAAGAATTTGGGTGCAATTAGACTCTTTTGAATCTCCTCCACAGAGCTGGAAAGAGAGAAGCCAAACTGACATGATTGCATAGCAACTCTCCATACTTACATATGTCGTCCGTGTTGGTCTTCACGGGTGAGAACACCCTCCTTTTCCATCAGCATTTGCCGGAAGGTGCCAACCTTCTGCCGGATATCCTCTTCAGAATACCTGTTGGAAAGAAGGAAGGAAGAAAAGGAAGGAAGGAAGGAAGGAAGGAAGGAAGGAAGGAAGGAAGGAAGGAAGGAAGGAAG